CGCAAAAAATTTTACGTCTTCTGTTTTAGTGCGGCTAAATTCAAAAATTAATGTATTGTAAATGTTCACTGGAAATATTGCGAAATTTCAGTAACCGTTCAAATCATATGAACATTTCATTTACTAATAAATTAAAATACATGAATAACTTGATTTATTAAAATATATAAGATAAAAATGCTAACCATTACCATTCTAATATAGATATTTTCTTTTATATAAATTAATAACCAAAAACATACATAGCATTACATACATTAAAAGCATTGCATTACTCCAGCGCTACAACTACCTTCATTTAATGGAAAATATTCCGAATTCAAATTTTTTATAACGTCGTTTTCGCAAATTATTGATCGGAAATCAATCTTATCTAATCTGGAAAAATTTAATTATTTGCTGACTTGTCTGCATGGCCAAGCGTTAGAAACTGTTAACGCTTTTCAAGTCACAAATGAAAATTACTCAAAGACATTAAATAGATTGAAGGATAGGTACGACAATCCAACACTCATTTTCATGGAAAACATATCAGCACTTTTTGATCTTCCTGGTACTTCCAAACCGGAACGTGTTAAGCTGCGAAGTGTAATCGATACTGCGTCAACGATTTATAGTTTACTTCTGTCAATGGGTTTTAAGGCTCTAAAAATCGATTTTAAGATCGCGTAAACGCCCTAAATTGAATTTTGCTTAAAAGCACTTTTAGCTTACTAAAAGTAGTTTAAAATTACTTTTAGTAAGAAATATCACTTTTAAGCATTGCGCAAACACCTTAAAAGCAGTTTAAGGTTTGAATTGCAGTTGTTAACAGTAAATAGGTACAAATAATTTCAATTTCGTTACAAATAACAATAACCAAATAACTAAAAATATAAAGAAAAAATGGGAAATAAAAAGAAAATATTTGCAGAAAAACAAATAATTAGACGGCATTGTTAGAGAGCAAAAAAATATAGAAAGGATACAATTTATGAAATTGTTCGCCAAAAAATGGACATCAGTGGCTGGTACAGAACTGTACAGCAAATAAAACAAAAGTGGCAGGTATTAAAAAGACAATACTCTGAAATAAAAAAAAACATAATAATTGTAGAGGTAACAGTTGCATGGAATACCATCCATTGATGTGCGAAATACTTGACACAAGATCATCATCAGTTCTTGAAAATAACGGGGCGATAGTCTAGATATTGCACACCTAAATGGTAATTTATCATACAAGTAAATATCTTGTTACCGAACTTTAATTTTTTTAATTGCAGGCGAATGGAATGAGGAATATTTGAATGACAACGCAGATGAGAATTCAGACTTTAAATGTAATTCTATAAGCACACTTGATTTACCTTCGACGTCCGCATTTTTGAACGCTCAAGATTTTAGTGCAGAAAATGTAAATAATGCAGATGAATCGAATTCGGAGTTAGGAATCAGTT